TCTCATTTTTCAAGGATGCCTTAAAGCGCCTCTTGCAGGCACAAATCAAAGCCCCTAAACCTGACCAAAAGCCACTACGCAAAAACAATGTAGTAACAGAAGTCTTTGATTGCGCTGGTTTTGCTGCACCAACGCGCCTCTCACCAGCAGCCCCAACTGCAGCAACAGCAGCAGCAGCAGTAGGCTTGAAAGAAGCTGCAAAAAGACAGTCTAAACTCTTTAAAAGGGGGTTATGTAGGAGATGATATAGGGGACTACTATTAGGGGGATACCAGGAGTTTAGACCATGGCTCATATGCATATCAATTTCGAGAACTGCCCTGAAGCTCCAGTCCAGCCCAATGCCCAGAGGATTTTCAATGAAGGGTGTCCCACAAATAGGTCAAATCATAAAACTCCTCATCCAGCTATGAACCACGACAATGAACCGATCCACCACGGCCCACAAATCCCAATACCCCAACCCCTAGACCGCTAAACCCTAAACCCTAGACCCTGATCGAACCACAGCTGTGGACCAACCTGCACCGCGGACGTCAGATTGTCAGATAAGGCAGTGATGCTCAGCACCACAGGCCTCTCCAATGTGCTGTTGTGGCGGTCTAGGGTTTAGGGTTTGGGGGCTCAGGGTACTTACAACTCACTGATACCTGCATTTATCGCAGAATTTTCCGCCTCTAAATCCCCTAGTATGGTCATAACTGGGTTAGAAATACCAGTGATAATTAGGTTGTCAGTACTGTGAACCTCCAAGTAAGTGGGACATGCACACGTTTTAGGGTGCCGCGCTTATGGTGGCACACATAGGCATATGAATGAGAACGCTAACCATCGATGTCATGATCAGCGATTACTTGCTGGCAGGCATGCTGCCGAGACTTGTAGTGTGGCTTCGGATCAACTTCAACCATCAAAATATGAGCACTAGTTTAAACTCCTAGTATCCCCCCTCACAGCCCCCATAATAGTCCCCTGTATAACCCCCCTTAAAGAGTTTAGACCCTAAATCCTAAAACCCTAAACCCTAAACCCCATATAATCCCTCATATAACCCCCTTTTAAGAAGTATATAACCCCCATAACAGTCCCCTATATAATCCCTTATCAAACCCTCTTTTAAGGAGCTTAGACTGCAGCTATGGGCTCAGGACTTAGGCTTCCCGATCTGCTCAGCCCTCCAAGAAGCTTAGCAATCTCCAACAAGGCATCAGCGCCAGCCCTTAGGGTTTAGGGTCTAGGGTTTAGGGTTTAGGGTCTAGGGTTTAGGGTTAAGGGTTTAAGGTTTAGGGTCTAGGGTTTAGGGATTTTCAGAATGGGCCCTTACTTAGGGGCCCCGGCGAAGGTGTACGTAGAGACTTATGCGAGAAACTCTCAGACAAGGAATAATAGTATTGTTCATAAGAATGGTAATTCTAATAGCACTAGTAGTAGTAGTAGTAGTAGTAGGCGCCCCCCCTCCCTACCAACTATGTTTCCCAGATTGGGCATGTTGAAACCAGGTAACAACTG